CCAGATTAGAGTTTTTTTTTTTCTACTAAAACAAATGACAGGTTTTGACAGTTCTGTCATTTTTTTTTTCAATTTTTGAATTTAGAATTTACATACAATCTAAAAATGTCAGATGACATCAAAAAATATTGAAAACTGGAAAAGATGAGTGCTGCCGTTTGGCAAGGTTTTGACAGGTGTCAAAATGGTTGACATTTTTCGACTTAACTTGGTCGACTTAGTAGAAATAGATTTTTTGTTCATCAAAATCTGCCATAGTTACTCTGCTTTTGGAGATAAGATTCCAATATTTGACAGCTAACCACGCCTCACCTGTCATATATACAGGGTTGTGCCCATGGTAAAAAATGTTGCTTACGGCATCCCCAATAACATATTTAAATTTCATTCAAATACACTTCGCATCAAAATTAACGCACCACTAAAATTTGGCACAATTTCAAATTTAATTTTCTCGGAAACTGCTGAATCGATTTGGACATATTTTTTTTTTAATTGTAGCTTAAATCTTCAGGAATGACTCTGTAAAACAACTTTTCATTTGAATCGAAGTTTTAGGCATATACAGGGTGTTTTAAAAGAAACCAGTTTGATGCCTAATTTTTGTCACATCCTGTGGGACTTTCCATCTGCACCAATAGATGTCTATCTAAATCAAAACATAGCCCCATCTTTTCTGAGCATTTTGTTTTTTTATTCACGTTTCTAGCTCTGTTATTTAATGAAATATGGAGTTTGAAGTTAAAAGCGTTTATTTGAGATTATTCAAGAAAAAGTTTCGGAAGTTAACAAAACAAAATTATTGAAAAAATAATGTGGAAAAAAGAAGAAAGAAGAAGAAGAAGAGTTATAACCGTCAGGTAAGTAAATCTAAGTAGGCCATGGAAAACAAAGGCGCGATATTGTCATGGAAACAGAGACTACTGTCTTTATCAGTCAGTGATTTTTGAATTTATTCTGTAATTTCTCTGCATTTGGTGATATCATTGCAAAATATGGAGCGTCAAACAAGAAATTTAACTCGAGATGAATGTGTGATGGCGACTACATTGATCCAGGAAGGAATGGGCTACCGAGCTGTAGGTAGAAGATTGGGTGTTTCTCATTCGACAATATTGCGCATATTTCGCCGTTTTGAAGAAACCAATGACCACAACAGGCGCCGTGGACAAGGAAGAACTCGGGGAACAGCGGCTATCCATGACCGATTTTTGCAACTGAATGCGTTGAGGCAACGTTTTGTGACCTCAAGACAACTAAGGGTACAATTAAATACTGCTCACAATATCAACGTTAGTGTATCAACTGTAAGGAGACGTCTGGCAGAAAGAAATTTAAGGTTCAGAATTCCAGCAAGAGGACCAAGGTTAAATGCAGACCATATACGAGCAAGACTTCAATTTGCCAGGGAACATGTAAACTGGAATGCTGAAGATTGGGAGCGAGTTCTGTTTACAGATGAGACAAGGTTTTGTCTTTACAGCAACGACCGACGAGTAAGGGTTATTCGACGACCAAATGAACGTTACTCGCAGTGTAATATTCGCCAAACCGAGTTATTCAATGGAGGGTCTGTGATGTTTTGGGGCTGAATCTCCTTAACTGCTCGTACTGACATCGTGTCTTTGCGTGGAGGACCTTTAAATAGTGCAAGGTACATCACGGAAATTTTGTCAGAGCATGTGGTCCCTTTCGCTGGGTATATTGGGGATAACTTTTTACTAATGCAAGATAACGCCAGACCACACACTGCGAGAATAGTGCGAGATTATTTGAATGAGGTGGATATTGAGACTCTGGACTGGCCTTCACGCAGTCCAGATCTCAATCCTATAGAACATTTATGGAATCAAATTGGTAGGCAGCTTAGAGATCATCAACCCCTACCTGTGTCTTTGAATGATGTAGAAAACTTTGTTCGAGAAATTTGGATTAATATCGATCAAGAACAAATAAGACGTCTGGTTCAAAGTATGGGTCGTCGATGTCAAGCGGTAATAGAGAGTAGGGGAAGAAACACCCGATATTGAATGTTTTTTTTTCCACATTATTTTTTCAATAATTTTGTTTTGTTAACTTCCGAAACTTTTTCTTGAATAATCTCAAATAAACGCTTTTAACTTCAAACTCCATATTTCATTAAATAACAGAGCTAGAAACGTGAATAAAAAAACAAAATGCTCAGAAAAGATGGGGCTATGTTTTGATTTAGATAGACATCTATTGGTGCAGATGGAAAGTCCCACAGGATGTGACAAAAATTAGGCATCAAACTGGTTTCTTTTAAAACACCCTGTATATGCCTGAAACTTCGATTCAAATGAAAAGTTGTTTTACAGAGTCATTCCTGGAGATTTAAGCTACAATTAAAAAAAAAATATGTCCAAATCGATTCAGCAGTTTCCGAGAAAATTAAATTTGAAATTGTGCCAAATTTTAGTGGTGCGTTAATTTTGATGCGAAGTGTATCACGTACGGGTAACCAATTTCCATTTAAATATTGCGGGGTCCTTTGTAATACAAACATCATCATGGATAGAGACAGGTTTCAAATCCTCTTGAATTATGAGGGAAAAGATATTCAAGTGGGCCGCCCTTTTTTTTCCTTTCAATATGAATGATATAAGGTCTGTTTCTTCAGAAATCACAAACCAGTCAGAGTGAATTTCATTGGTTGAAACTAGTTTTCTGACTGTTTTCATTTTTCAACCAATGAAATTCGCTCTGACTGGTTTGTGATTTCTGCAGAAACAGACCTATAATTGAAGGGAAATCATGAAAAAATTTAAGAAACCCCTCAGCTAATATTTTCTTTAAATGTAAACAAATACAAGGGGAAAGGAGAAGCAGACAAATCAAAACCAAAATGATAACCAACCAATTTCAAGCGGTTTGGAAATGTTTTGACCATAAACTGCCAAACAAACGTCAAAGGGCTGTGACCGACAACCAAGGGCATGACTGCGGTATTTACCGGTCAAGCGTTCGAAAACCCCTATAAATCCTCTAATCCCTTAAGCCTAGTACTCATAACTGCGAAATTCGCATTTTTTTGACATTGCGTTGACAATTTGACGTTTTATGCGTGTATCAAACGTCAAATTGTCGAAGCAATGTCAAAAAAATGCGAATTTCGCAGTTATGAGTACTAGGCTTTATTCTGTTTACATTTTGACAGCTGATTTGAATGATCTAACCCAATTTTTTTTGCTTGTTTTCTAACTTTTATTTATCCAAAAGATTCCTGAGTTTGATTAATGTTCCCTTGGTGTTTTTTATGGAGAAATTATTAGAAGTTGCTGTTTTGCAAACATAAATGGAGCGTAAACTAGTTTTGACATAGCATAGCGTTACGGTAAGGCTTCCGCTAAGTTCCGTTAGATAGCGGGCTCCGCTAACGCTAATAGAGAGATATCGGTAATCCAAATAGTGTCATGCAGTATTAGCGCCTACGTTATATTGACATTAAACCTATGCGCGATTCGATTTTTAACACTACGTACTAAAATAACGTTCCCGCATAACGTAATTTACCCAGCATTTACGTTAAGCGCTATTTCGAATAACGTCTAAAAATAACGCCGTGGAATAATAGGTTATGTTATGTTTATTGTTTATTTTATTATTTTTGTTGTGTTCAAGTGAATATGGATTGTTCAAAAAATAGTAAAAAAGCAAATCCTCTGTCCCTGACCATGAACAACAGATAACACAAATCAAATCACAACAAGGTACAAGTTAGGCTACGTTAATAAAATAACGGATGCGAACAGGCAAATTTTACGTTAAACTGTTTGCCGATAACTCTAATTTGAAAGTATGATACCGCTTTACTTTAAAAAAATAACTCTTGACGTTATTACCGTCCATACGCGCTATCTGTTTTACCGATATCTCTCTAATACCCTAAGAACTGTCATACTTGTCAAATAACGTTACGGTATTTGAGGCGATTTCGGCAAGCTTTGGTTGGTATACCATTTGGTTAACCAATTGGTACCTGCAACGTCATAGTAATGACGTAAGATACCATTTTGTTCCGAATTCGTTTGGTAGGTCATAGGAGAGGGGAAGAGACGAGCCTTAACCTAAGTTTGTGTTGTTCTTCTAGTTTTGGGAGTGACTAGGTACTGACTGCACTGACTAAAATGTATAATCACTAATCAGCACTGTCTAGACAGTACCTTTGAGTAACTCAGCGTTTTCTGTAAATTTAAAGCTGTTAAAGTTACCTCATATCTGTCGTTCAAAGCCGTTTTTCAAATGATCGTCAAACATTATTTGGCAGTCAAAACATACGAGAAATCAGGAAGATGAAGGCGAAAAAACAAACATATTTGTTAAAAATTTCAAATTATTCAAATTCTAATGAACTTCCATTTATTTACATTTTCCAGAGCAGGACAAAACGAAAATAGACGTAGATAGCACTATACCAAATAGAAGAACCGTGCTGCTGACCACGGTATCCTATTTGACAGACCAAAAAGGATACCAAAGTCACGGTGACGACATCATTTTCGTATCCGAAATTGGTTGGTATGCATTTGACAGACCAAACAGGGTACCAAACCATGTACCAAAGCTTGCCGAAATCGCCTTTGAAATTTGGACGGCACGAGAACTCTCTATTGCCGAACTCCCGAGAAGCTCATATCGAATCGTAAGGCAAAATTTATATCGAAATGTGTATCGAATTATATGGTATCGATAAGCCATCGAATTCAATTTTATTCATTCAAGTATTGATAGTTGATAATAGATGTCCCCAGCTTCGTGATTTTTAAGAATTTCAAGGTTTTTTAGTATTTTTTGTATCGTTTTCTTTTTGTGGTATGTATTTTATATACGTTCATTTGAATGAAAATGAATAAGAACTATAAATTTCTGCAGTAGCTCTATACGTCCGGTTTTTCGTCCTTTTACAGGAAACTAGTAAAAATTATAGAAATCTGTATTTCAGATAATTCTGACGTTTCTTTTGTTGTTTGACAATTCAATGACAACACAAGTGCCAAATAAATTCCTAAAAAATTGTGCGAGCGGTAGTGTAGGGAAAAGCAAGGGGAACAAGATAGAAATTATGAGAAAATGCCTCCATTTTGTTTATTTTCCAAAGTGAAAAGTTCAGTGTCGGCATTTGGATATTAAGCCATTGTCCCATTTAAATAGAAAAATAAAACTTCGTCCAGGTGCCAGTAAAATAGCATCGTCTATCATCTATGTTTCTCGTTCAGCCGTTCCCTCGTGCAGAGGGTGTAAAAAATCGCAGACATTGGGCGCATCGCGAGTAAGCACTTCGTCAAATTGACTAACCCCTCCGGCGGGACGAAAAACAATAATAATTCCTGTAACGGCAACAATACAGGCTCCGGCTACCGTGTAGTCTCGGCCGACAAACATCAGTCGACATTATTGAACGCAACGAGAAAGGGTAAAAGTGCAGTTTTCAACAAAGACAAGACTGCGCCCCTCGCTCCATCGACTCCCCCGATAATGAATCACGTGAGTGGACAACAGAGAAAAACCGAGGACAATAATCCTCTGCAGAATCAGCACCTGAATTCGGACGTGGAAGAAATGGACACTCAAGAAGGTGATCCTTTTGTTTGTCAAAATCATTCTATCCATCCCATATTCTTTGCTCACGTTTTGACATTTGTCAACCTGTACAACAATTTTGTCACTTAAATTTTGCAAAAATAATAATAATATTCGAAAGTGTTTTTCTATAATTAGATTTTGAAAAAACTGAGCAGCTCAGTCAACAAAGGATATCAATTTTTAGCATAGTCATGACTTGTAGTAAGTAACAGTAACCTCTAACCTTTTTCACTACTGAAAAAAAACTGTATGCACTGATTTTCAGATTCTAGAGCAATTATTTCTTACCTTGGAACTGTTTTTGTATTGGTTGATTATTAACTTAAATCTTCAAAGAAAGTGACTGTTTTAATCAATTCACTATTTTCATACTACCTAAACTTAATTCAAATTTGATCTTCATGTATGTGATCAATATACTAAGGCTAGACCATGAAAAATGTTTTTGTTTATACTGTAGGAATGTGAAATGCTGAAACAAACGTAGATCAGCTGTTTCCTCCAACTTATCTTATGATAACATAAATCTGCTTATTTCCTGCCTAATTTGTAATTGAAATTATTTGGAACAAATACTCTATCCAACAGATCCTGTATTGTGATTAATTGGCAGCTCGATTGGCAGCCTATAAAATTGCTGACTTGGGAGTACTCAAAACAAAGACCTAAAATAAGTTCAAATTTCTTATTTATTTCTTATAGTCAATTATATGGATTACATCACTGACACAGGCGGCGGTGAAATGGATCAAACTCAAAACGGCGAAGTGTTCATAGGCCCTCAAATGGACCCAAACATGGCTATTCAAGATGCTGACATGGAAGAAGATGAAGCTCGCAGTGAAGCCACTTTCAGATTTACCGTTCAAAATTTTAGTAAGCTCAAGGCAGGTTTAAAGTTTCTAAAACCTATAACAACTTCTACTAATCAAATATTATTATTTAGGACTCTATATTGTCTCCAGCAACGTTTGTCCGCAATCTGCCATGGAAAATAATGGTCATGCCTCGCAGCAGCCACAGCCAGGACAGGTCTCAGCAACGCTCTCTTGGCTTTTTCTTGCAGTGCAATGGAGAGAGCGAATCCAGTTCTTGGTCTTGCTACGCTATTGCCGAATTGCGTTTGTTGTCAGTCAGACCTGATGTAGAGACGTTTTCCAGAAAGATTCAGCATCTGTTTTATTCTAAGGTGAGTAACTCGGTAAGTAACTTGCATATTATTTGATTTTAGTAGTTTAATCTGATTGTAAGTATGTATTTCACTAAAAACCCTTTGCGAGCTTATCATTTTTCTTCAAACTATTTGATATAGTACTTAAGTGAAATGGATGATGTGTGAAAATTAGTTATGAGTAGTTGGTGTTGTTGCATAGCATTGGATGTGAGTAATATTTTTGTTAATTTTTTTTTTTCTTCAAAGAAGTATGTAATTAAATTATTACACAATGTAAGATAAGAATCAGTCTTACAACTTGGGGATTTTATCAATATTTATTTGTAATTCAATGGGAAAAGAAAATAGTGTGTATATTTGTAAAATGCTTTTTTTCAGATAGGTGGTTGTTGATTTTGGCTGATAATTTGTTTATTACTTAATCAGATAAAAACAGAGTTTTGTTTCAATCTGTGCTGCGCGGCTTGGGAAATAAAAGATATATTCAAATTCAAATTCAAAAAAAGCTTTATTGTCCAAAATAAGTTTTTACTGACAAAGCCAAGTCTTACCATCTAATTAATAAAACAGTCTTATCAAAATGATACAATAAACAAAATACATGCACTAAAAATCTAAATTATAAGTGTACACAAACTAGTCAATATAAATTAGGTTTGTCATAATGATTAAAAAGTTATAATAACTAAAAATAACAATGGAAATTACAATTAACAACAAGACATTGATTTTTTTTTTTGCAGCAAAATTAAAAAAAAAAAACATAAAAACATAATATATATACATTCTTTAAAATTGGTCGGTAAAAAATTCTGACACATTATAATATGCCCGACTAGAAAGGAACTTTTTAATTTTGCCTCGAAATCCTTTAAAGGTATTTATATCCTTTAATTCATTTGGCAAATGATTGTACATCTTTTTGGCACTATATATGAAACTTTTTCTAATTTTGCTGCTCTGCGGAATCGGCAACGGAACATTACCACCTCGCCGAGCACTGTAATGCCCCACTGGAATAGAGCTTTTATATTTTTTGTAAGCCAAACATACACTCTCTGCAATAAAAACACACGTCAATGTCAGGAGTCCTTCTCTCAGAAAGCATGGTTTACAGGATTCACGGTATGGTAAACCGTACATAAAGCGTAGTGCTCTTTTTTGCAAAACAAAAACTGAATTAAACATATAATCGGAGCAACCTCCCCAGAAAGCAATTCCGTAACGTAAATGTGACTCGATCAGAGCATAGTAAGCCATCTTAACTACCTGTGGTTCAAGATTTTTTGCTATGGTTCTCAAGGCATAACAGCCAGATGACAGTTTATTCAACAGTTTTTCAATGTGATTACTAAAGTTAAGCGAACTATCAACATGTATCCCAAGAAATTTCACACATGGCGTGGGGTTGAGTGTAATTGTTTCAATTTGAATTTCCTGTAAATCACATTTGAAAGTCAGAATATTAGTTTTAGTAACATTAAGCGTTAAGAGGTTGCTGTCAAACCACCTCTTTATTTCCTGCAAATCTTTTTGGATTCTATAGTTAAGAGAAGAATTGGTCGAGTCACGCCAGAGAATGGTAGTATCATCAGCAAAGAGAGTGAATGAGCCTGATATATCAATAGTGGTGATATCATTAATATACAGGAGGAACAAGATTGGTCCCAGGACAGAACCCTGAGGTACCCCACAATTGATATTTTGAACATCTGACATTTTTCCCACTATGGAAACAGTCTGAGTTCTTTCTGACAGATAGGACCTGAACCAGTTGAGGGCAACACCTCGAAACCCGTAAACTTCTAGCTTTTGTAGTAGAATACTGTGACTGACACAATCAAAAGCCTTGGTCAGGTCGCAGAAGACTGCACCAGCAATGTCCCCATTATTGAGGGTTACATATAGTTTCTCTAAGAAAGAAAAAAGTGCATCAGTTGTGTTTTTTTCATTTTGAAAGCCAAACTGTTCCGAATTTAAGATCTTATTTTTCAATAGAAAAGACACAACTCTGTTTTTTACAAGTTTTTCTATAATTTTGGACAAAGTGGGAAGCAAGGAAATTGGTCTAAAATTTGAAGGACTGAAGTCATTCCCTCCTTTGTGCAATGGCACGATAACAGCCCTTTTAAGGAAACATGGAAATTGTCCATTAATGAATGAATAGTTAATTGCATCTACTAAACACTCCAGTGCCGATCCACTCAACTCACAAAAATTTTTTACGGAAATGTCGTCCCACCCTGAGGCGTTTTTGTTTTTAATCTCTAAAAATATGTTTTTTAATTCCCTAATGTCTGTTGGGTACATAAAAAAGGTGCTTGATGTATATGATCTAGTGAGATATGTGAGGGGATTTACACTAGAGGTAATTTTCGAAGACAACCCTGAGCCAATGGAACAGTAAAAATCATTAAGCTCATTGGGGTCATGGTGTAAGCCCTTGTCATTACTATTATCTGACTGTCTAAGGTTGTTAACAATCAACCATGCTTCCTTTGACTTGTTTCTCGATTTTCTAATATGTTGACTATAGTGTAGCCTCTTTGCTGACCTCACCACCCTCCGATAGACAGCCCTATACCTGTTAAAATAAGAGACAAAATACAGACTGTCCATGAAAAACTTTCTAATGTAATGAAGTGCTCGCATATTTTGCGCAGATTCTCTAATTGATTTAGTCAACCAGGGTTTTTTGGTTTTATTCTTTATAACAACAATGGGAAAGGCTTTATTAAAAACATATGACAACGCATAATGGAACTGCTGTAGAGGATTATCACAGGTAGAGAAATTCCAGTAAACCTGGTTGCTCTGCTCGCGAAATTTTCTAAAGTTTTTCTTACAGTATAGTCTTCCTTTCTTTGAGACAGAATTTGGTGTTTTAAGGTTAAATTTGAATTTTGATACGACAGCTTCATGATCTGAAATTCCAGAATGCCTGACACTGCAAGAAATACATGATATATTTGAACAAATATAATCCAAAGTAGTAGAGGTATGCTTGGTTAATCTAGTAGGCTCTGTGACATGCATTTTAAGATTAAAACAGGACAGCAAATTAATAACACAACCACTGGAAGCTCCATTAAAATCAACAGGTAAATTACTTAATAATATTTCTAAATTATTTAAAAAAATCGTCAGATTACCTGACGGAGAGCGATAAAGGCATACGACATAAATTCTATATTTGGAACAATATACAATAGAACATTCAAATACCCTTTCAACAGTCAAATAATCAAACTTGCAAATATTAGAAAAACTCAAGTCACCAATAAGTGTCTCATTTGCAAGCACCATAGTACCTCCGTAAGCAGAGCCCATTCTAGAAAATTTTGAAACAACATTATAATTATCGATTTTAATAAACTCATCAGACTTTAACCAATTCTCCGTTATACAGAGTATGTCAGGAAAATCGAGACTTTCGAGAAGAATATACAACTCATCCGCTTTATTTCTAAGTGACTGTGTGTTTATAAGAATCACAGTAAAAAAGGTATTTTTTATTCTAAAAAAACATTCTCATTAACATGGTTACACTGGTTGTCAGATTCAGCCATACTACTAATATCTGTACGTGTGATACCTTCAGAAAACAAATTTACAGTTGGTTCTCCATGATCAGTGGAAGTTGCTAACACTTCACTCAATTCATTATATAAGCTTTTATTGTTTATTAAAGTAATGCCATTTTCTGCGCTTGATGCAGCACTGCTCGAAAAATCTGATGCCTGAAGCTTATGTGGGTCTATGTCTATAATGTCTTGTGACTCTATTTTGCGATTTATATAATTTAAACTCTTATATACTTCATCTTTTTTACCGCATATAGTTTGGAATATATTCCTAGCTAGCATCCCTAACTTACTACGCCCATTGTAAACATGACTGGGTTTGTAGATGAGTAACTATTTCCTTAGATATTCTATTTATCTGTTTAAGAAAATCGGCAAATTTAGTATTAAATTTATTTAAAGTTTTATTTGATTTTTGATCATGTTTAAGGTAGGGTGTAGATAAAAAAAAATATATTTGTGTGCATGCACAACTTTAAAGTGGTCCATATATTCTTAATCTTAGGTACTTTACCCTGTAAAAAATCATTTATTCCTCCCATAATCACTACATAATCATCTTCTCCGTACCCGTTCAATAATGCTGACAAATTGTTAATCACATCACCAAATTTCGCACCTGGTTTAATGATAGCTTGGACTGCATAGTTGGCCTTCAAAAGTTTAACAAGATGAGGTCTCAGTCCCTTAACACATTCATCGCCCAGTATTAACACTTTCTTGCTATTATTGTCCTTATCAGAAGTTTTGATGTGATTCACAGTCACATCAAATGTTATAGGGGAACTTTCAGGTATAAAGTTAGTAGCACTGATGTCTTTCGGTTCGTTAGATTCCATGATAGCTTTTAATTGAAAAATTTTGTAACTAGCTTCTTTAAGATCCTTCATGTACATTTCATTATCACCAGAAAGGACCCTGATACTGTCAAGCATTTGGTCTTTAAGCGAATTTAGCTGACTATATTCACTGGTTAGCTTTTTAAGCTCACGACCCTGTATAATAGAAAATATATCAAAAAATTTCAAACAAAAAAACAAAATTGACGTGTCTGAGCGATTTTTCAAAAATTCTATTGTTTTCAAAATAATGAATTTATCCGTTACTTTACGTACACAGTGTATAATGTCTGTTGGTTATATGAGGTGTCGTGATTTGTTATCCTGTAATCAAGGCAAGTTAGCAGATTTGTAGAGTTTTCAATAAAAAATGCAGTCAGATCTTCAACAATAATTCTCTCCATACACTTACAGGGATTACCTGTAAGGCTGATGCTGATTGGTAGTTTGCTGCTAAGTTCCTGTCTCCCTTCTTAAATAGAGGTGTCCCAACTGCATGTTTCCAATCTTCTAGCATTACTTCAGTGTCAATAATATTCTGATACGCTGACGCAAGTAGTGGAGTAGGTAAATTTGCATACTTCTGAAAAAATATTGTCGGAATATTATCAGGGCCTAGATTGGACTCAAACTCCATTTTATTTAACGCAGCGAATACCTTTTCTTCTGTAAACTCTATGTATTCAATGCTATTGATGGTTCTTGTTTCAGGAGCCAGATGTGGAAGGGCGTTGATCGGATTATGGGAAAATGATTTATTAAATTGCTCTGCAAGGTTAGCACCTATTAAATTGTCATCTACAATTATTTCGTTGTTATAGTCTTTTAGAGAAATATGTGAGATACTGGAATTTAAACTTGTTAATATATTTATAAAATCTCTTAGTGGATTCCGATGTTGCAATTTCATCTTCAAATTTTCTTTTGGCTGTGATTAGTAAATCATATCTTTAAGCATATTATTATGAGTACTATACATATAAAAATTTTGTTCATTTTTGTTTTTAATATATTTATCTCATAGCTTCCGTTTCTTGTTGATTTCTTTGAAAATTCTTTCATTTATCCAAGGTTTCTTATTGGTTAACTCTAACCGATTTAATTGGTATAAAACTGTTGATAGCACTAATATATTATTTAATTCTTGATAGGTGACTGTTCCAATACTATGAAAATTTTCTCCTATAGAACTGTTGATATTTTTGTAATTTGCAGTCCAAAAATTTCTTTTCTTAATAATTTGAGTTGGTATTTCAAATTCATCTGTTTTGCTTACAAGAGAACAAAGGTTAGTATACATAAAGGAAACCTCAAACACCTCTTACCTTTGCTCTTTCTTTCTCTAATTTTTCTATAAACTGCCTTAAATAGCTCCTCTGCATAAATGTCTGGTCACTTCTCATGTATGTTCTAGTTTGGTCCTCTATTGCTTTTCTGTTTCTCAGCACTTTGATTGGTCGCTTTTGATCTACTCTATAATTCCCAAATCTAATGATTGAAGAAATTAATTTTTCTCTATCATCTTCTTTCCTTCCTGCCTCTCAATTCTTTCTGGATTCCTCTACTCCAAACATTAATACATTGGCAGCTCTTTCCTCTCTTTCCTTTAGTTCAATTAGTGCTGGTTCTAAAGCTGGCCTTTCTTCCATACTTTTAATGTTGTCGACTTTTTGTTCTAAACCTTTCAGCACATCCGCATAAGTCTGTGTTGGTGATTTTTTAGAAATAACCTCTACTTCCGTAGTTAGCTCAGTTATGATTTGTCTTAATTCTTCATTATTTGCTTCTTGGCTTTTGATAGTATCCTCAAAGCTTTGTGATGTTATCTTTACTGTAAGCACAATAAGATCTTCTTTCATGTCACCTATAGATTTACATAGTGTTTCCCTTCTACTTTCTTGATCTTGAAAACGCTTCTGTACTTTTACCTTGAAAGAGTCGAAAGTCGTTCTTGAACTTTGCATCATTTCTAACTGCTGACGTCATTGCTTTTAGATCAAGATTTTCTTTGAACTTAGGTAGCTCCTTGATCAACATAAAACATTCGGGACATACAAAGATCATTGTTCTAGATGAACTGGGTACACATCGAATCTCCTGTGCTTGCAGTTTAGAGCAGATAACTTTTTTGCAGAAATCGCATGGGAAACCAAAGAGTTTTCGTTTTTTCTCTTTTGCCTTTGAAATGAGAAAAAAAAAACAGGGAGTTATAGACAAAATGAGATATACATATTTACATTTCTGGTATCATCTCAACTCTCAACCACATTTTATCACAAAGTTGAGCAACAAGAAAGAAATTTGGCCATTATGTGGCTGCAATAATGATAATTTTATCAATGTGAATAATATAAAACCTAGTTCAAACAGATATATTTGAAAGGTGAAATAAAACAGTAATAAATGAAAAAAACCTTGAAAAAACAAACAATACAGAAATTAATACATACATACCTACTACTTGAATTTCAATCAATATACTCAAGAATCTTACACAAACAGTTCTGTAGTAAAAATTCCTTTGTTAAATTGGAAACTAGTTGTACAACTTTATGTTGAGTGTGTTCTTCTCAAAAATAATCCACCCAAAACAAGGCACCTTCACTAGGTTATTACACCTAGGATTGTTTTGTCATCATGCTCTGGTAATCCCAAGCTCCCTGAACAAGCACTGACAATGGCCTCTCTTGTAAAAAGTAACAATGAGTCAGTTTGTCCAGTATTTTTGAATAGTGCAAGTCTAGCTGGAATTTTTACTACAACCTACTTTGATATCCTGCTGCTATTGCCAACAGTGTATTGTTACTAAGATATCCCCACATAATCTTAGTTTTAGATTGCTTGTAGATTGTAGATTTCGGGGGAGTCGTTTCGGCTTTTCAGCTCTCAGCACTGCTACCTTTGCAGATATTTTGTGCGTGACTCTACATCTTAATTTGTCTCCAGCAAGCGTAGACTTCTGCCGAAGAAAGCTATTTTCCTGGGTGTCAGTTGGCCCACTTCTTCTGGTGACAGTGTTGCCCCCTCGAGGAATTTGAGCCTCTTACAGAATTGGGCTGGACATTCGCAGAGCGGTTTCTATTGCGTCTGAGCAGAATCTGCAGAGATCGTCTTCCGCTCTGCTCATTAACCTTAAATGGTATTTTACTGGGCAGTGTCCTGTGAGCAGTCCCACCACCAATCTGATGTCTGGTCTGCTCATGCTTAGGAGCTGTTCAGCTCTTTTTGCTGAAAGGGTAATAAACCTTTTTGACTGTCTGAGTCCCGGTGTGTGCCTCCAATATGATGACAGTTGGTCTTTCTCCCATTTGTTGAGTTCTTCCATGATGTGGCTTTTCATTATGCCACAGTAGGGCTTTGGTCCATGGTATGGTGTTGAGGCCCCTTCCTTTGCAAGGCCATCTGCCACTTCGTTTCCTTCTATGCCTCGATGACCAGGCAGCCACATCAGCGTTACCTGGTTATGTGTCGCTAGTGTTTTTAGGGTCTGTTTACACTCCCAGACTAGTTTTAACGTGCATTTGAAAGCCCTCAAGGCTTTTAAGGCAGCTTGGCTGTCCGATAGTATGAAGATGTGTTTTCTTTTGAGGCTTTGGTTAAGACACTCTTGTGCACATATATCTATGGCAAGCAGTTCGGCTTGAAATATTGTAAGATGTTTACCCAATGCCTTGGAGAGCTTGAAGATTAGATTGCTTAGCCAAATCCATTTTTTCTACTGAAGACTATGTCTAAACCAAGATCTTCATATTGGGATCAGTGGTAACTTATATGTTTTCTGAAATTGTAAAAAGATATCCACAGATTACCCCTAAGAGTTTTGCAGATTTTTTTAAATCTCCCAAGATTTTGCTAGATCTTCCTAATTTTCCATAGAATACCAGCACAAGTGCACAGCCAGAACACAACTACTGAGGTCTTCTTCTTAACACAACATGTGCGTTTTCTCTTGATCCATTACTCTCCTGGCTACATTTATTACAATATGAGGTATATTTTTCTTGATGTTTTTCTTTCTGTGGAAAATATGGTAACATGATATCCTCTTGAATATTTTCAATCAATGGAAAATTAAATTCTTAACGCGCGCACAGTCTCGATCAGTAAGATTTTCCCCAAATTTCTTTCAGATTTTCCTGAATCTCCTCCAGGGTTGATATACACAAAAACCCCAAAAACCCACCATCAGTATTGACAAAAACCCATTCATGCAGAAATAAATTATTACCTGTCTTAATTTGGAAACATTTTTATTAAAGAAACTCATTCCTGCCATAGTGACCAAAGATTGACAAATATTAATCGAAAATTTGCGATTATTCTGAGCAAAAAATTATGTGAAAAATTATACAGGGTACCAACAATAATTTCCCTATTCCAGGCTCTTGAATTTGTTTCAAATGTCCATAAATCAGTAGTCGGAAATAGACAACATTTGGAGTGAAAAATCAAAGTAATTAAGAGAAAAAAAGTACTCCACTACTCTCAAATCTTTCTCTAAATCTGAGGCTCAAAACAATATGAGCAAATCATAGAATCTGATAGTTGAAATGCTCAAAAACTCATATGTTTGTCATCTGAGCTGTATTTTAGCTCCAAATTTGACAAAATCAAAATAGCTGTAAATAAGATGAGCCTATAGAATCTGAACAGCAACATTCTTGCTCTGAATTTGAGAAATTCAAATATTGGCTTTAAGATCTATGAGCCAATGAAGCTTTCTCTCAAATATCTCTCTGGATCTGAGTCTCAGAAAAAATTAATCATAAAATCTGATAGTTGAAATGCTCAAAAACTCTATCTTTGTCATCTGAGCTGTATGTTAACTCTAAATTTGACAAAATCGAAATAGCTGTAAATAAGACTATAAGAATCTGGAACTAACAACATAGCCAAAAAAGAATTTGTGCTAAATGAACTAATTTATAAATATACAATTTCATTAAGTTGAGTAAACACAAAATTCCCACTAAAACCCAAAACCCTGCAAACACTATCACAAAAACCCGATAGAGATGTTCAAAAATCCGGATTTTCCCCCAAACCGGAGATTTCCCCAAACCACCCAAGATTTTTCCGCAGAGTTTTGGAAATCTCCTGCAGGGTGTACACAGGCTTTCCTGTTGTGAATGACCCCTCGATGTAGGGTAACCTGGCCACATGATAGCATATTAGTAATCAAGTCCATATCTGTGTCCATATCATCTCTTCCTAAATTCCGGATAGCTCTAAAATCATATTTATAAGGAAGAGTCTTATATGAAGTAAATGCCCTTTTTATAAATACATAATAAATAGGCGCATACTGGATCATTGTTCATGGTTATTTTTGTATACTTTGACTTTGTATACAAGTAGATGTAAATATTATCTTTAAGATCTGTAACTGACCTTGCATGTTTGTGAATGCCTTTTATTCATGCTCAAGTGTAAATGGGCCATATTCGCGAGAATATAACCCCTGGTTTGTTCAAGTGTGTGTCTTTACATTTAATTTTAAGGCTTTGCCTACAAATAATGTACTAATTTTTTTTATTATTATTAAAATATGAAGCATACAATTTTCAATCACTTTGAAGTAATTTGTCAGTGAAGTGTACTACACAAACAAACAGCCAATGCATCAAGTGCTGCTTCAAACCTCACAAACCAACAGATATGATGAAATCAGATCTACTATTTTCACACATCAACTCCATTTATTTTTATCAAATAGATATCAAGCACTATATGAATATCAGCTTATTGAATTCAACTAATTTATTAGGAAAATGATTGGGGTTTCTCCCATTTTATGGCCTGGAACGACGTCCTGGATCCAGATAAAGGTTACCTCAAAGACGACTCCATCACCCTTGAAGTGCACGTAGTGGCCGACGCTCCCCATGGAGTTTCGTGGGACAGCAAAAAACATACAGGTTTACCTCACTCCACCTCCGCTGAAAACCCTTAACTTGATATCTAATTTCAGGTTATGTGGGCTTGAAAAATCAAGGCGCCACTTGCTACATGAACTCCCTGCTCCAGACTTTGTATTTTACGAATCAGCTGAGAAGGGCGGTTTACAAGATGCCCACCGAATCTGACGATTCGACTAAATCGGTTGCTTTGGCCCTGCAAAGAGTTTTTCACGAGTTGCAGTTTTGCGATAAACCTGTTGGCACTAAAAAGCTGACAAAAAGCTTTGGCTGGGAAACACTCGATTCGTTTATGCAGCACGATGTACAGGAATTTCTAAGGGTCCTTTTAGATAAATTGGAGAGTAAAATGAAAGGCACCTGCGTAGAAGGAACAGTTCCTAAATTATTTGAAGGCAAAATGCTCTCTTACATTCGTTGCAAAAATGTTGATTATTCTAGTACAAGGTCAGAGACATTTTACGATATTCAATTGAATATCAAAGGAAAGAAAAATATTTATGAGTCATTCAAAGATTATGTTGCTAAAGAGTCTTTGGATGGAGACAATAAATATGATGCTGGCGAACATGGGCTTCAAGAAGCTGAGAAAGGAGTGATTTTTTCATCGTTTCCTCCAGTATTGCATTTACACTTGATGCGCTTTCAATATGACCCAGTTACAGATTCGTCAGTCAAATTTAACGATAGGTTTGAATTTTATGAAAAAATCGAGTTAGATGAGTATTTGCAAGAAAGAGACCCTAATGATCCAGCCAATTATACTTTACACGCCGTTTTAGTCCACAGTGGAGATAATCATGGAGGGCATTATGTAGTATTTATTAATCCAAGAGGTAAAATTTGTTTGCATACTTTAAAAAAAAATACATATTTGGTTTTACTATAGGTGATGGAAAGTGGTGCAAATTTGACGACGATGTAGTGTCACGTTGCACCAAACTAGAAGCAATTGAACACAATTACGGAGGTCACGATGAAGACATCAACATGATGAATGTCAAACATTGTACTAATGCCTACATGTTAGTTTACATAAGGGACTCCGATTTACCAAATGTACTACAAGAGGTAACAGATGTTGATATTCCCAGTGAACTAGCGGATAGATTAGCTGAAGAGAAACGTATGGAACAAGTGCGACGCAAGGAAAGAAATGAAGCTCATTTGTACATGACAGTGCAGGTTCTACTAGAAGATCAATTCGATGGGCACCAAGGCAATGACTTATATGACCCAGATCAAGCTCAATTTCGCGTGTTTAAAATTAAAAAGTTGGCGACAGTGGCTGAAATGATGGAAATGTTGGCAGATGCCTTCAAATATCCACCGGAACAGATCAGGCCTTGGCCATTTTCTCATCGCTCTAATAATACCAATCGTCCCATAGTTTTGGATCTAGAAGCTGACCTGCACAAGACAGTTATCGATACTGCAGAAATGGGTAATCCTTGGAACATATTTTTGGAATTGTTGCCTCCTGATTCACCGTTATCCAGTCTTCCAGCGTTTGACAAGGAAACTGATGTGATGCTCTTCTTTAAAATGTACGATCCCAAACAGAAAAAAATACACTATTGTGGTCACGCTTACATCCCTGTAACCAGTAAACTTAGCGATATTATTCCCATGCTCAACGAAAGAGCTGGATTTGCTCCAGACACTGAGCTGCAGCTCTATGAAGAAATCAGGCCTAATATGATTGAAAGGATAACTAATTTAAGTGAACCAATAGAAAAGGTAAAGGTATCTAATGTCTATATATTAAGGTATTTTGTGATTTTTCTTTATAATACATTTTTCAGATTTTGGAAGAGTTGATGGATGGTGATATTATTATCTTTGAAAAAGATGAAGGCGATGTCAATTCAGACTTACCCACTTGCGCAGATTATTATAAGGATCTCTTTCACCGTGTAGAAGTTACTTTTATTGATAAACTGATACCAAATGATCAAGGTTGTTAATTTTTTTTAAAATTGTTTGTTTATAATAATCATTTAATAATTTTAGGTTTTACAATGGAACTGTCCCAGAGGATGACGTACGATCAATTCGCTAGGGCTGTGGCCCAAAGAGTAGGAACTGACCCATATTTACTACAATTTTTCAAATGTCAAAGGTAAGAATATTGTTAGAGATAAAACCAACTGAGAAGAAGTCATTGCATGATCTTTTATCTCACTTCAAATTGGAGGAATTTGCCTTCTTCATCAGTGATGACGTCAGGGGTTCTTCTCAGTTGATTCTTACTCTAGGTATAATGAGCATTGTTGCCAAATTTACAATAGTGAATGTGACCTATTTTATGTATAGGGAAATGAAAACATTTAATTTTTAGCTATAAAGACAGTCCAGGACACCCACTAAGATGTACATTTGAAGGAACACTGAAAGATTTATTAGTATTCAGCAAACCTAAATGTCCAAAAAAGATTTTCTATCAGCAGCTAAGCATCAGGGTGAACGAATTGGAAAACAAAAAGCAATTTAAATGTTACTACATCGATTGTAACATGAAAGAAGAAAAAGAGTTGATTTTGTATCCTAACAAGAATGGCGTGGTGGCTGATTTATTGGAAGAAGCCAGAAAACAGGTAGAATTCAGTGAAAACACTTCCGGCAAGTTGCGATTGACCGAGTTGAATTGTAATAAATTATTGATGGGCCCCAAAGAGGATACTCCTTTAGATTCTTTGACGACTACAAAGTTTTATAGAGTAGAGGAAGTTCCTAGGTAAAAAATATGAATATTTTGGATGGTTGAATTTCTATTGAATATTTTGATTTAGGGATGAAGTGAACGTGGCTGATGATGAAATGTTAATCTCATGCGCCCATTTCCACAAAGAAGTATTTGCCACATTTGGTATTCCGTTCCTTATAAAAATTAAACAAGGGGAACATTTCAGTAAAGTTAAAGGTAAGATAAAATATTTTGTGAGTAGAAAATTACTTGCAAATTTCCAACGATAAGAATATGCCAGAAGAAAGTGAATCATTTGTTGAATTATTTATTTGAGGTCTCGCACTTGGTACATAAATAATTTATTTTTTTAGAACGAATACAGAAAAAAATGGCAGTACCCGAAAAAGAATTTGAAAAATTCAAATTCGCCATCGTTTGTATGGGCAGACCTCAAGCTATATCTGAAGACGAATATGTAGTTAACTTGAACGATTTTAGACCTCTACCTACACAAGGTAAGGGTCAATGTAAGAATATAATTGTTTGATTTCACCAATGAAATTTAATACTTTTTTTTCTGTCTCTAGTTGGCAGTCCGAGGCCCTGGTTAGGTTTAGATCACGTAAATAAGGCCCCCAAACGAACTCGATTCAATTATCTGGAGAAGGCCATCAAAATATACAACTGATATTAATAATTTAGACTGAGAAGGAGCGAGCCTACTACAACTCTCAAAACAACAGGCCAACTCGTTTTTGCAGTGTTGCCAATCCTCTAGTAATTTGAGTCAGGATTTTAAATTAAAAAAAAAAAAAACATAAGGAATTCGTTTGGTGTGGGTGATAGACAAAACTAGCTTAGACACACTTAGACGAAGCTACTTTTGTTATGCTCCATAACGTTTAGGGTGTGAAATAATTAAATATGTCGCTTATTCTCATAAATAATTAATCAATTTAATGTTATTTTCGTATGACGTTTGAACCAGGAAACTTTGAAGTTTTTAACACCTATACCTGTACATATTAATATTTATTATTAATTGGGCCATAGAATGGGGTGGCCCGCAAAAATATATATTTACGGAAATATTCACCTGTTATATTATTGTTTAATTTTTTTATTATAAACCTTATACATATTAATTTTAGTATTCGTTCTTGTTTTTTTTTTTTTTTTTAACTTCATGGTTTACTTTACACACCAAATTTGTAACTTAACTCAAAATAGTGCTTCAGTGTTAGTGATTTTTGTCATTACTCTAAGAAGTTTTTCTCAAAATTCTTTATTTGCATGATTTCTCTTGGGAGGTAATAAATTATTTGTTAAGTTAGTTCAAATATTTAGGCAATCAAAATTCAGCAGTTTCTTTTTTTATTTGTATAAATTGTTTCAGTTATAAGTTATTTTGTATTTATTTCGATCACTGGATGTGTATGTTTAGTTAATTCTTATTCGTTGACTTTAAACATAAAGATTAGGTAGTGTTTGCAATACTTTTTTCTCGCTTTATATTGTTTTTTTTTATGTAAAAAGACTTCACTAATAAATATATTAAAATTTAAATTTAGAGTCTTTTCTTAACATAATATCCTCACATGTATACAAGGTTTAAACTTCCCTATTTTGACTTTGTATAATCTTAGGTAGGTATGGCACTAACTTTACATTGAAGCAGAAGTTAAATTTAACCAAATCTAGCCTAACTACACCTTTTACAACAGTATTTAAGAAAGTAAGATACTGGCGGCAAATATGGCCCAAGGTCTCAAAGCATTTGTGATCAATCTGACAACGTCGAATAGTTGCTTGTATCGCCCCTCCAAGGATGAGACGATACTCACTACTACTACAGGATGGCCTATCCTCATAAGGCCTGTGTGTAACAAATCCCCCTATAGCCAAAATACCAGTTGTGACGTAGGCAGCATGTTATTTCTCGCCTTGACGTGTAGACTGTTTAAACATCTGACGACTTAGTTATGACTTCAGAAATGGTATCACACCAAAATGGTGGCGATTACCAAAAATGAGGCCGATAAGCACTCCTTAAAATGTGTATTCTCCTTGGGGAGCTTTGAGATTTGAACTGCACAGGCCAAGCCTAGTACTCATAACTGCGAAATTCGCACTTTTTTGACATTGCTTCGAAAATTTGACGTTTGATTCACGTATAAAACGTCAATTTGTCAAAGCAATGTCAAAAAAGTGCGAATTTCGCAGTTATGAGTACTAGGCTTGGCCTGTGCAGTTCAAAGCTCCCCACGGTATGTGCTCCCCAAGGAGAATACACATTTTAAGGAGTGCTTATCGGCCTCATTTTTGGTAATGGCCACCATTTTGGTGTGATACCATTTCTGACGTCATAACTAAGTCGTCAGCTGTTTAAACAGTCTACACGTCAAGGCGAGAAATAACATGCTGCCTACGTCACAACTGGTATTTTGGCTATAGCGGGATTTGTTACACACAGGCCTTATGAGGATAGGCCATCCTGTAGTAGTAGTGAGTATCGTCTCATCCTTGGAGGGGCGATACAAGCAACTATTCGACGTTGTCAGATTGATCACAAATGCTTTGGGACCTTGGGCATGAGGATGGGATATCCCAAGGATATTACACACTACACAGGATAGCCTATCCTCATAAGGCCTGTGTAAAATCTGTCTCAAAATTAAGGATAAAAGTCAAAATAGCATTATTTGGCATTAAGTACCTAAATGTGAATGCTTTCAATTTTTTTACATAAAAAAAATGATCGTAAAAAAGCTTGTGTTGCCAACAGTAACCTACCTTGCGTTTTTATTATCAAATGGATCCACCATTTACTAAACAAAGATAGCTAACTCATCAGTGAAGTCACCGATTAGAATAAAAACGAGGGGTTACCTACTAAATTTTCGACAGTGGGGAATTATCTTTTGTTTTGGGATAGACCCAAGGTTCCTAAAATTAATAGGTTGTCTGGTTAGAACCTTGGCCCAGTAACGGGTAGCTTGTGACGCATCTGGGGTGCTTATGGAGTCTATGGAGACTTAAATTATGTTGAGACATCGCAAATGACGTCATAAAAGTTATCAGGCAAACCTCAGGTTGTCTCTGATAATGGGTAACTTCATGACGCATCTGGGGTGCCTTATAGAGATTTGCTGAGGCAACTCAGATGACGTCATCCAGGCAACCTACCTACCTCCCGGACAGACCAAGGTTGTTTGAGAGAAGTAGGTTGTCTGCAAGGATAATACACACTACTACTACAGGATAGCCTATCCTCCTAAGCAGGGACCCGGACCGGAACGATATGGAACCCAAAAACCGGAACGAAACTGTTTTTTTTTCGCGGAACGGAAACCGCGAAACCCATATTTCATAAAAATGTTGTAAGGCAGACAGAACCGGAACCGATATAAATTAATTAACGGTTCTTACCGGTATTTTTAGGTATCAAGATTTTATAAGTTAAGCCGTTTGCTATTTGGTCGTATCGTCATTTTAACACTCTAAAAAAACAAACAGAGCGTTGGAAAGCGCGCATTTGAGCTCAGCTTGTCTACACCTAGGATATTACACAATACTACTCGACTTTTGGAGTTAATACGTTGTTGAACCGTTTTCGACGTCATCAACGGTGTCGTTAGCGGTTTGCGTCAGTGGTCGTGGTTAAGAATATATATTTATGATGCAAATGTGGTGTGGGGATGGAGATTTTTACTAATTAACTGTTCGAAAACACAAAACTGTATGTATATATTAATAACAACTATTATTAGGTCTGTTTCTGCAGAGATCACAAACCAGTCAGAGCGAATTTCATTGGTTGAAAACAGTCAGAAAACTAGTTTCAACCAATGAAATTCACTCTGACTGGTTTGTGATTTCTGTAGAAACAGACCTATTATTAAACTTGTGGGAGCATAGCAAAAGAAATCCAATAAGAAATAAACCACAAATACAGAAACATACATTTTTCTGTTAGATTTTTATGAAAAACTATGCCGGTATGAACCGTTAAAACCGAAACTATTGGTCTGAACCACAAATTGAAATATTTCTCTTAGAACCGGAACCGCAACGTAACCGTTATTCGTCATGACGTTGTGGACCGGAACAAAACCAATAATTCATTTCGGTACGAGTCCCTCCCTGAGTCCCTGCTCATAAGGCCCGTGTAGAACAAATATGAAGCCCCCCCACCAAGCCATAGAACCAGTGATGACATAGATAGTGTGTCGTTTCTCGCCTTGACGTAGAGTGTTTGCACCACAGATTATAATTTCCCGGACTTTTGCTTTCGGCATACGTGGATTTACTGCAATATTTACCATTCTAAAAAAACTCTTTCTTAGATCTTGTTTGCATCTTCCCCTTTGCTTATTTGTGTTAATTAAAATAAAATAATTTTTTTCATCATAAATTTAAATTTTAAACCACGACCGCTGGCGCAAACACCTGCCTACTTAGTCAATGACGTCGGCAATGGGCCGATAGTAGTCGTATGTATGATCCTTGGGTTGCCGGATAACTTTATGACGTCATCTGGAGTGCCTCAACCAATACCACGAAATGCCTCAACATAATGCAAATCTCCATAAAGCACCCTAGATGCTTTATCAAGTTACTTATTACCAGGCAACCTATTAACTTTTAGGAACCTTGGGGACAGACTAGGGGCCGAATTTATAGTCAATCCTTGAATCTTCCTTGGAATCGCGAGTTAAGAATGGACACTTGCTACTATTTGACAAGTTAGTCATGTCAATTCTAAAGGCTTCCTTAAGATCTGAGGAAACCTTAAGGATCGACTATAAATTCGGCCCTAGGTCAAAGCTGTATTCTCGCAGTGGAACTGGTTCAATTATGTTCGAACCTATACATTCTTGCGTTGAACCAGTGACGTCACATTGAACCCGGTTTAAAGAAGTTCGAATCGGACTGTTGTTCTTCGTTGACATAAGACTGTGGTTCAAACCTTCCATTTTCTCGCGTTCACAAGTGATGACGTCATCTAAAAATTGGTTTAAACCATATTTCGAACTATTCGCCCCACGAGAAAACGCCTCAAGTCTATGGTTCGAATATAACGAAACGTTAACCATAAAGTAACCCAATTGACAGAAATTACACTTAATACCAACTAACCGACATTTGATGGCTGGTAACTATTTTGACATTTGGTTAACCAGATTTCAGGAAACTGAGGTCCAAAATCACCACTTTTCCAGGAACCGTAGATTTTTGATTACTGCCGGACCGAGAAACCACAACCCTGGTTATCGTCTAGCGACAGCCCATTCGTACATTTACAAAGATTATGAAATGTAAACAAAAGTCTTGTTTTGTAACAAGTGAACAGAACTTAGAATTGAATATTTTTTCTAAACCACAGCAACTAGCGCAAACAGCAGCTAATGACACCGTTGATGACGTCGCCAACGGTGCAACACCATATGATCTTGAATCCAAAAATCGAGGTCGATGACCAATCCTCACAATCCTATACTAGTGTGTAACATCCTTGGAGCTATCCTGTGTAGTGTGCTCATTTTGATAGTGTGTAATGAGTAATGAGCAATTGCTTGTAACAAATAGTTGTTTTCCTTTCACACCTATAAGGAGGAGCTCCGGAACAGCTCCAGAGCTTCACGCGCTTATTCGTTTCAAAAAGTGTTTGTTGCGTCACGCATCTGTTCTCTGCAAAACGGGGGCCACTAAACACCGGAGCGAGTAGCTCGAGTGTTTGAAACTCTTGAAAGGAATACAACAATAGTGAGTGTATAATACCCTTGCGATGAAACATTTTATTTCCAAAGGAATAGAGATTGCAATATTTTCTTTCACAGCATTCACTAGTTTCCTGGGGTTTTTCCGGTTTTTCCAATCATTTCCGGAAAAGAGGCCACCACAAATTTACGACGTATGTCAAATTTGACTACTTCAACTAGAAAACCGAAGACGCAGTCGATTGCGTATCGTAGCTAACTTCATCTAACATCTAACCGAATGAAAACAATAATTGAATTTTCTTGTGAAAAAAAGACTGAAAATGGCTGAAAACTCTGAAAATACAACAAATTCAGTGGAAAAGGAAAGTAAACAATGTTCAATAAAAAATGGTAATAAACAGTGGGTGAAACTGAATGTGGGTGGAACGTATTTTTTAACCACCAAAACTACCCTAGCTAAAGACCCCAATTCCTTTTTATACAGGCTAGTACAGGAAAGCAGTGATTTGGATACAGACAAAGTAAGTTTCCTTTTATATTAGGTCTGTTTCTGCAGAAATCACAAACCAGTCAGAGTGAATTTCATTAGTTGAAACTAGTTTTCTGACTGTTTTCAACCAATGAAATTCGCTCTAACTGGTTTATGATTTCTGCAGGAACAGACCTATTATCATGCTACAATCACTTAATAAATTTCCCTTTTACTAGGATGAAAGTGGTGCCTATCTCATCGACAGAGACCCAAACTATTTCTCCCCAATTCTAAACTATTTGAGACACGGTAAACTAGTAATAAATAAAGGCTTAGCCGAGGAGGGAGTATTAGAAGAGGCTGAATTTTATAATATAACAGAATTAATAACTTTAGTAAAAGAGCGAATAGGGCAAAGGGACAATGTCTGCGGAAAAAACGGCAAAAAACACGTCTATAGAGTGCTACAGTGTCACGAAGACGAGCTAACGCAAATGGTATCAACAATGTCGGACGGCTGGCGATTTGAACAATTAGTCAACATAGGTTCGCAGTATAATTACGGGCAAGATGAACACGCAGAATTTTTGTGTGTTGTTAGTAGGGAATATGGTATTCCGGAAGGGACCGAAGTTAGAGGGGAACGAGAGGATAGGGCCAAAGTTTTACAACAGAAAGGGTCAAGAATGTAGATTGTGATAACTAGATATTTGTGACTGTTTTTTTTTTTTTTTAAGGGCCAAATTATGGACTGACTGGTAAACGTCTGGTTGTTACCCAGCAGGTACTTTCTATGCACTAGAGAATAAAAAATACCTGCTAGGTAACAACCAGACACTTATCAGTTGGCCCATAATTTGGCCCTAAGGGGGAATGCAGATGATATTTTTTTTTGGTGTTGAGATTTTTGATATTAAAAACTTGCCAATTAGTTTTTGTCTGTGCAATTTATACCTCTTGTGTTTGTAAAATCAGCACAATAAAATGTGTCTTCTGATAATTTTTTGGCTTCTAAAAATATAAGGTCTATTTCTGCAGAAATCGCAAACCAATCAGAGCGAATTTTATTGGTTGAAAACAGTCATGAAACTAGTTTCAACCAATGAAATTCACTCTGACTGGTTTGTGGTCTTTTCAGAAACAGACCTATTAGGTTTTTGTTTTTGGTCTAGAAACTATTTTTTCAAAATTTTCTTGAATAAATATTTAGGTCAATTTACACTGTTAATATTTAGAGACATTTTTGTTGTTTTTGGGATGAATAGAAGACTATGCTCATTTACAGGATTAAGCTTTTCTACCTATACAGCAAGATTGATGTAAATGGAAAAGGTCTTATAATTTAAAAGCAGCTTCCAACGTGGTTTTAGAATTAAATTTGAAAAATTATTAGACCTTATCCATGCAATGTTCTATTTAAGAAATAACTGTTGACCCAATATGTACTACTTTTGTGTGTTCTTTTTCCAGGAATTCAAGCCAGGTACAAAATAAACGGGCCACCTGTAACATTTATAGGACATCATTATTACAGTAACTCCTTCTCTCCAGTGTCTTAATTTTTCAATGTTTTTCTCCTTACCAATGAACAGTATTGAAGAAATCAAAAGTTTTTATCCAAAACACAACACTAGCATTATACAAATAAAAAACTTGAATGTTTCACAGATGGCCCGTTTACCTGATCTAGTGGAAGGTTGATGTTTTAATGTCTATATTTCATCAAAAAGAAAAATTACAAACCAATCAAACATATTCTGAATGTGAAAAATCAATATTTTTCTTGTCAAGTACAAACCCATTTTAGATGTGTTTTTATTATTATTTTTTTTTATATTATACTTACACTCGCGTTATTAACGAATAAGTACGATTCTGTTTTGTAACTTGTATAAATTTTGTTTTTTAATTTTTAAATAAATTTATATTCGTGCTCTTATTGATTTCAATCGAAAGTCATGAACCTTTCACACAATTCAAAAGTATTTTAAACCGTTTGTAATATTGTCACGACCCATATACGTTTCGTCCTGGGACGTCACAACAGGAGCCTGGGGGCATAGGTGGGGTTCAGGTTGAGAGAAATTCGCTTGTTATAGGTACATTAAGATATGTATTGAATATATAGAATAATATTACCCTAGGAATAGTATCATGACGTCTCTTCTATGGAGGGACATACTACTTGGGTCACTTTGTACACTTGGCGTGACTGAAGACTGAAGCTGAATTGGGTTTAAGACAGGTCCAGAAGGGTGTTTCCCAATAAAGGTAGTCTGAACTTTTCCCAGTCTGCTGCGTTCAATACTCCCAGAAGGGCGTTTCCCAATAAAGGTAGTTTGCACTGGGAGGAGACTTAGCTAGAGGGGCTTTTCCCAATTGAAGTACTTTGCACTAGCCTTTAGTCTGCCAGTAATGGATCTCGGCGCGGTATTTATACCAAATTAATGTACAGAGTGGTATTTACTTAAGTAGTTGACAATATTTAATCTGTAAAAATGTTTAATCCTTCTGCTAAGGCTTTACAAGAGCCTGAGAATTTTAATTTTCGGTGTCTTAGAAATTTTAGGAGCCTCTGTCTTTTATCTTCAGAAATTCTCCAAAATCATTTACAATTGTGATCCTAGAACCAGCCCATAAAGCTTTGCCATTATGGAACCATTCCACTTTCATACTATAGGATCATTAAGTGAAGTGAGCCTACATTCAAAGTGACCTAAAGAGTTTTTACCTAAAACTAAATCTGCAGGAGTAGTGATAATTTCTGGTCGTTTGCCAGTGTCATCCTAAGATCTCTTGATTGTTCAAAAACTTCATATCAAACATCCTCAGAATATTTTGGATTTAGATTTTCAAGCATCTTTACCCTCATATCTTAAATCATCAGTGTCTTTGAAGTCTACATGGCAGAATGTTTGAGAGCTCTTAGACCCTTTAAAAGTCTTTAGTCTTTAGGTTCCTCTTACCATCCAATAAGTACAAAATTAGAAAGAAAAAATCAGACAGCTCTTAGTAAAATAAAAACCCTTTTCATAAAAACCTATTTATTTATCACAGAAAACATTATTTTTTTTATTATTTTCCCAAAATATGAGAATTATCAGACGCGAGCATCTTAGCAAAATAACTATTTTCATTTTCCATAAGTACTATCGGATCCGCATACTCCACCACTTTGCCTCTTTCCATCACCAAAATCCTGTTACACTCCAACACAGATTGAAGCCTGTGCGCAATAATAAACACGGTACAACCCTGGAAATTTATCGCAATGGTTTTCTGAACCAACAATTCAGTTTCCGGGTCCATGTTGGCAGTTGCTTCATCCAAAACGACAATTTGATTGCGTTTTATTATTGCTCTGGCCAAACAAATAAGTTGTCTTTGGCCTGTAGAGAAATTTGAACCATGATCAGTGATTAGTAGTTCTAAACTAGGAATGTGCTCTTTCATGTGGACTTTTTCTAAGGTTTGCCAAACTTCCTCATCGGTGTATCTGTTTAAAGGATCCAAATTTTGACGAATAGAACCTAGATTTTATATGTTATACTTAAATTCATTATATTTTATTATACTACTTGCCTTGAAATAGTAAAGGATCCTGTGGTATAATAGAAATATGATCCCTCAAAAACTCCAAGGATAGTGTTTTAATATCAATATCGTCAATCAAAATAGTACCGTCATAATGGTACAGCCTAAACAATGTAGAAATTATTGAAGATTTTCCAGCTCCAGTTCTACCAACAATACCAATTTTGTGTTTAGGCTTAACTTCAAAGCTAATATCATTAAGCACTCTTTCTAACTTGTAAGTTAGAGAAACATTTTTAAAAACAACATTCCCTAAGCTAGGCCAATTCTCCACTGAACGTCCTTCGTAATTATCCTGCGGCACTTCTGTATATTCCAAAACACGTTCAACATGAGTCATATCGTTTTCCAAATCCGACCATTGTATTAGACACCATTGTACCAACATGGCCAGGCCTGAAGCTTTAGTTATAGCTAAACCCACGTCTCCAGAAAGTTCACCTGTTTGCCAAAATAATAATTTCACAACGATAAATGTTACAAACAATGCTGAAATGATGTCCATGAAAAAGCCAAAGGCTTTTTTGATGCATAAATTCATGTAGTTTGCTGAGGTGTAAAGGTCCTGATGTTGGTCAAATTCTTCGGCTAAAATTTGTTCTTTTTTGCTTGCTCGGATTGTGGTTAAACCTTCCATTGAGGCGTTTAGATGTCCGATTAAAGGGCTTCGGGCTGCAAAGAATTAAAATTAAAGCAACTACAACTTCGGAAAAAAATACACCATAGAGAAATTTAGGTTGTATAATAATATGTCAAAGATAGGGGAAGTTTGAGAGGTGATGTCACTTATGTGTCAGAGAATAAAGGTCGTATGAAACGCTCCCACAGTTTTATTTGAAAGTTTACTTGGTTTACTCTAAAACCTCAATCAATATGAACTAAACTACTAATGTAACATGGTGTCAGGTGTAAAAATTTTCGGGTAAATACAAAATACATCGATTAGGGTAACTACGGAAAATTTAGAGAAATTACTGGCAATGGCGGAACTTCAGCAGAAAAATGAGCAATTGCAAGCCCAACCAGATAGAATGGAGCGAAGTTTAGCTCAAATTCAAGTGCTGGGAGTTAGCTCCAATAATACAACAACAGTGACCAATATACGGGTGTTTTTTTCATATATTGACACCCCTCTACAGCCTTCACCTTTACAGGTAGAGGAAAGAAGGTGTAAATATAAAAGTATCAGTTTTGGCTAAATTTTCAGAATCCATGGTCAGAAACGAAAATTGAATATCAGAAATGTGAAATGTTGCATGCTTCCAGTTTTTTTCAAATGGGATGGGTATTACATTTTTTCCAAGTACACTCTTGATCAAAACACCCCAGTTAAAGTGGCGCCCAACGTGGGGCAAGTTAAAAACCAAGTTTATTTTGATTGTACTCTTGTTGACTAGATAGATTTGTAAAGTTTTCCTGTGAGTTTTTCGATTGTGGTCATAATCCATCTCACTAGAGCTTCACCAAGGACACCAATGAATGATAAAATGAAATAATTTTATTATTCACTTGTTGCCATTCCAGAACATATCAATAGTAGGACTTTACCTTGGTTTAGACTTCATTCATCATTCACCGGAAAAAGAATAAATTGAATTCTTACTGCACAAATATGTTGGATTATTCACATCCGGTACTGAGCCAACACGATATGCAGAACATACAGTAAAACTGACCGATGATATTCCAATTTCTGTACCACCTTATCGGATGTCTGAACAAAACAAAAACATATTGAGGGCAGAACTGCCTTTGTGAACTTCGCCTTTGTGTCAATTATTAACGCCTAAATGAGAAAACAGTTTCCGATAAATACCCACTTCCTAGGATTGATGATCTATTACACACTGCATAACAAACAAAGTATATGACCACTCTTGATTTAAAATCAGTATACCATTAAGTCTCTGTCCGCGAATCTGATCGAGATAAAACACCATTTATTTGCCCATTTGGAATTTTCCGTTATACGAGGATGCTATTTGGAATGAAAAATGTACCATCCACCTTCCAAAGACTCATTGATCGATTCAAATCCGGACTCCAAGATTTGACCATATTAGCTTGTATAGACGATTTGATTGTATTATCCAGAACCCTTCCACGAACACCTTTCTGATTTACAACGAGTTTTTGACTGACTTCTAGCTCTCAAGCTTCACCTCAACCAGCGACAAAGGAGTGCAATTTTGTTAGTGAAACAATCAGGGTTGGACGAACTTTTGGAAGTGGGCCGGGAAATTTCAGTCTAGCGGCCCATACATCATCACCCGTAGATGTGATCTAATAATATTTAAGTTCATTATTGTCGATTCCTTCATCGATTTTTTATGCATTATAAAGTGTTGAAAACTGAAAAGCATTTTTCGCACCCTACTTGTGTGCGTACGCTGAAGTGAGGACATACTGGTAGGCCCTAAAGATGTCTGCAAGCACGTATGTAAATTCCGTATTTTTACTTATACAAAACCAAACATTGTTTGCAGCGTAAATTTGAAGAGAACTTTAATCCATGCCCTGTATCTAATCCTGTGTTATTTACACCATCTTCATCTTCATCGTTTGATTCAAGGAGATCATACAACTTAAATCATTTAACAACTCTAATTCATTTCCTATATCATCTTCATCTACATTTTTCATCGTTAAATTCAGGGAGGTCATACAGTTCCGACCTTTTCAAGCACAGTTTTTTTATTAGTTCGGAAAAATTGATTATGACAAATTAGCACAAAACAAATATCCCTATGCCTTGAATAAGATGCCTCTATTTATATTATGATGTGATTATTGGCAACATCACGTATTTACACCTGAAATTTAAAAATAGCAGTAGCTGGAGGAGTATCATCTCTGCTTCCTCCCCTGTTACTTCTTTCTTTCATTTGCTTCCAGTACTGTATTTGCCCATCTGACATTTTTAGCACTTTCTAATATTTCTTCCATGTTGCGTTGTTCCTTTTTCAGTGCATCATGAATTGAATTAACCATTCATTCTTTGTGCTTTCATAAGGCCTGTTCTCACAGAAATCACAAACCAGTCAAATTTCATTGGTTGAAAATAGTTAGAGAACTGTTTGTTGGCGATTTTCACCAATCAAAAACGTTCTGACTGGGTTCGTAATTTCTGTAAGAACAGGCCTATTGGAGATCGTCCGTTTAAAAGTATCTTGATAAAGGTTCTGTTGTTCTAAAGATCGGCCCACATTCTGATCGGCCCACCGGGAATTTCCCGGTATCCCGGTGGGTTCATCCAACCCTGGAAACAATGCAGTATGTAGCACATTGTCTTGGTTTTCATCAGCACTTAATACCTGTGTATCATGTCGAGTCTAATCCTGTAGAACGGAAAAACCGCGACTTGAAAATCCAACTATCAATCCTAGTAGTAGGTTGTCGAACTCGATGGAAGAATAAACTACCATCCGTGCGTTTTGCCATGAACACCTCAAGATGTGACAGTACTGGATATACCCCAGCCTATTTAACATTTGGACGAGAGCTCCAAACACCCGATGATGTACAAAGGGACATCAGAGCTGAAAGTGAAAATTTCATTCCTCAATAAGTTACCCCTAATTTGATAAATATTGCTAGAACCTTGAGAGAAGCAAGAGAGCTCCATGAAAAGTCCCAAAATAAATCAAAACAATATGCTGACCAAAGAAGAAGAACTTTTCCCCATTATAAAGAGGGAGATCAAGTGATGGTGGATACACACCCAATTAGCAAAGTCAAAGATGCCTATACTTCAAGATGTGTCCATATGAAGTAACTAAGGTTGTCACTCCAACAACAATTGAAGTTAAACCTATAGCGTCAACTGAAGGTCCTACCATCAAATTACATACGTTAGCTATGGCACCTTATGTAGGAAAAGGAGAAGTGCCAACACCAGTACGACCTATACGCCCACGTGGAAGATCCATGAGAAGACGCCTTATTGAAACTGATAATATATCCGGAGGTGACGGCCATTCCTGAGAAAAACACAGATGCACTGCATGCTGATGACAATGAGAGTTCTAACGAAAAAAAAAATGAAAATGACGATAAGTCTAGATTAGATGGACGACCCAGACGCCGCATCAAAGCTCCAACTTGTTTATATGGCGATCATACATCAAAAATTGCCTTGGAGTATCCCCGAGGACCTAGATCTAATGTAACATAGGTTTTCAACTTACTTGCTGCTTCTAATCGTTTTAGACTCCTTGCAGAAGGCATGTAAATTATCCGAAGCGAATAAAGACAAGCTACAAGCAGTATTGCTGGAATTGTAAAGGTGTAACTGACGGAAGTCACTATGGCTGTAGCTCCTATGCAAGCAAATATCATCTGAAATAGTCAAATCACATTAAAATATATGTTTTTGAGTATTAGAGCTACTTGCCATCATAAAAAAATTCAAATTAGTCGGCAGAGTCTCGTCTACGATATTTAAATCTTGCGAAAACCTATTCAACATGTTTCCAATGAAAAAGTTATCGTAAAACGACATTGAGGCGGTCGATAATTTTTCGGTCATTACGTCGTGCAGCTTCAAAGAAGCTTTTCTAGTGAAGTTCATCAAGAGAAATTGTACCAAAAGATCCAAAAGAAAAGATCCCAGGACTAAGCCAGAGTAAATTTTGATTATCAAGTCTGCTTGGTCTTGTAGCAGAGCATAAGAGGTCATTGGATTGCTTGTGTCGGTTCCATTGTTGGCCAAATTGCCTTTTTTAACTGAGCTGATGTTTTGTTGGACGTTGATCCTGAAATATAATGATTGCTTATAGGTTTTCATCTATAAGAGTCGTTTTTGGAAAAGTTGAAAAGTATCTTTCTTGGACTTTGTCCATGGTAAAAATTACTCACCAATTTGTAAATAATCTGGTAGAATAACTATCACTGCCCTCCACCAGCATAAAAAGTAACGCAATACCACCAAATGCCAAAAACCCACCGCCAAATCTAAAATACTTTTTGAAAACATCAAACTCAACTTTTCCCTCTTTCTTAACTTCGCTGTAAACTTTTCGTTTGGCAATTGTCTTTATTAAACAACTACTTTCATCAGATTCTTGTTTAACATCTTCCCGTTTTTCATTATCTTCAATTTCAATCTCCTTCAAAATATCTTCTTTAACTTCAGTAGCTTTACCATCAAACTTAATCAAACCATCTTTTAGCACTATCAAATTGTCTGCACTATTCTTGTGCCTTAAATTATGAGTCACCATAACGCATGGAAAGCCTTCGAGGAAATTTTTGATGCAATTTTGAAAAACGTACTCTTGGACGTGAGGATCTAGAGCGTGCAAGGGATCGTCCAAAAGATAAATATCGCTCTTTTTATAAACAGCTCTAGCCAAGTTTATTCTGGCCTGTTGGCCTCCGCTCAAATTCTTTCCACCGTCAGCCACAATAGTTTCGTCTCTATGATCCAATAAATTGAAATCGTACTCTAGAGCGCAGGCTTTTACGACAGATTCGTAACGTTTCGGGTCGTAAGGTTCACCGAACAAAATATTTTGTTTGATGGAAGAGGGAAATAGCCAAGAATCTTGGGAGCAATAGGAAAAGTTTGCATGCGATAGGAGTTTGCCTTTAGCCACTGGGACATCTTTGAGGAATAGTTTCATTAGGGTGCTTTTGCCGCAACCTAATGGTCCGGTAACCACTGTTAAGCCGGGTTTTATTTCTGTGGTGATGTCTTTCAAAATTACTTGGTCTTTGATCTAAAAAAAAAAATGGTTAAGAGTTTTAGTAGTAAGGTGATGACCTTATGATTTAGATTTTGGTAAACTTTGAAAGGTCATAACTTTTTTTCTATTAGAGATAGAAAGCTGAGATTTTCAGCGATTCTTATCTCTGAAAATTTCATCTCATTTGGACTTATAGTTCCAGAAATAAAATGGTGTTAAGCAATTTGGGGTGATTTATCAATTTTTCAATTTTTCTGAGTGCCTTTTTCCATAGAATCCGGCTCCAAATCTCGGAATAATTTAGTGTATGAAGTTCGAGGGATCCCAAAGGACCCTTATTTTTGAAATTTCATCGTTTTAGTTGTAAGGTAGCTACCTTATGATTTAGATTTTGGTAAACTTTGAAAGGTCATAACTTTTTTTCTATTATAGATAGAAAGCTGAAATTTTCAGCGATTCTTATCCCAGTGGCGGACTACTATCCCTGAAAATTTCAGCTCATTTGGACTCGTAGTACCAGAAATAAAATGGTATTAAGCAATTTGGGGTGATTTATCATTTTTTTATCTTTCTGAGTGCCTTTTTTCATAGAATCCGGCTCCAAATCTCGGGATAATTTAGTGTATGGAGTTCGAGGAATGCCAAAGGACCCTTAGGACACAAAATCTCAACAAGAAAATTTTTGAAATTTCATCGTTTATTAGAAAATTCATAACTTTTCCAGAAACTCGAAAACACCAACGTAATGGCAATTTTTTTCAGTTACCTCCAAATTAGTTGCTTGGAGATCACTTCAGCAATTTTTGCGGAATGACTTATGATTGAAATAAATCGCTGAAGAAAATAAAGTCTTTATCTACAATTTGATAAGGTAAGGAAACATGAAAGTGCAATTTCTCTTCAACCGTACAGAGTTGTCAAAAATGGAAAAGTGAAACTTCTCCCACTGCTCCTACTGTCGTTATTGCATGCATTAACGTAAGAAAAAGCTTCTAAATTTAGTTTGGAGCTTCAAATCAACTTCAAATTAACTTATCCACATAGAGGAAACTTCAGTTCATAAATCCTGAAAGTTTCAAGTCACTGTGATCATTAGAAGTATTTTGTACAAGTGATTTTTGTAGATTTTAATCATTTTTGTATGCATTAACGTTTTGGAGCTTCAAATTAACTTCAAATTAACTTTTCCACAAGGAGGAAACTTCAATTCATAAATCCTGAAAGTTTCAAGTCACTGTGATCATTAGAAATACTTTGCACAAATGATTTTTGCATGCATTCATTAACTCATTCACTCATTACAACAACAAAAATTCAAAAGTTCTTACAATTACACTAACTCCCGAAGCTTTGACTCTAGCGACCTTGAATTCCTCTCCATTGTCACCCTCAATTTCTTCGGCGTTTAAAACTTTATTAATTCTTTGACTTGAAGCAATAATTTCGGCACCTTTGCCCAGGCCAATAGGAATTAAAATACCAATAGAGTGTTTTAAGTCATTATATGCTCTCATTACGTAAAATATGACTTCTGCGTCTGCATAGGGTGCCACATAAATGTAAGTCATCATGAGAGCATATAGGCCGATTTTTGAGGTGAATATTCCCACTAGGAAGGTAAGAGATTTCAGGTAGGCTGATTTGAGGAGGTATTCCATTTCTTTCCTGAAAATTATAGATTAGTTACACATTAAAATATTTGATAATTTTACTTACACTCTTTTTTCTTCTACTTTCTTAACAAACACCTTCTCCCAAGTGTACATTTTAATTATTTTAATTGCTGATAAAGTTTCTTGGGTGGCTTGTAAACGTTCGTCGGTTTTCTTGCTCAAATCCAATCTGAGATTTTTAATGCACTTGCCAATGTACAGTTGAGCGGGTAATACAAGTAAAAGTGAACCGACTCCCACGAATCCAGAAGGACCCATTTTGGCGTAAATCAAATAGCAAACAAGAAAAATGCGGAAAACATCAATCCACATGTCGTTAAACATTCCTACTGATTTTTCAAAAACTACCACATCTCTTGTAATCACTGTTATTATATTGCCCAGGCCCAGTTCGTTCATGGCTGCTGGAGATAGTCTTAAGGCTAAAAAAGAATACTCAAAATATTGTAATCGCATAAGTAAATACTTACATTTCCTATAAACCAATGAACATAGCGAGTTTCTGATTTGTATTGCCAACTGTTGCAAGTAAATCGAATAGTTTTGATGGTAGAAAGCATGTAAAAACTTCAAGCCGATCATCAAACAAGCGTAAAAGACGGCATCTTCAAATGTAAGCGTGGTAGCCGGATTGAAATACGAAACTAATTTGCCTATAGCTTCTGGTTCGTAAATACTCGTAGTCATTTTCCATGTTAATTGAATCAAACCTAATATGGCAAACTTGACACCGAAATTTGTCCAAAGTAACTTTCTCAAAGAACATTTTCCATGTTGTTTTAGTTGTTTTCTCCACGAACGCTCGAATCGGTTTGACGTTGTTTCCGATTTACATGATTGGACTACTTCGTAGATGTCGTCTTCTTGTAGGTCTCTTTTGAAGGATTTACTGAATAGACCTCCGGTATAGCTGGAATTGATAAAAAGATGTTGCTAAGAGTAGAGGCTAGCAAGTATAGGAAAGATTCTAGAGGCTTTGGACGAGTTCGAAGAATGTTTTCTAGTTATAATGGTAAGTTCCAGCAAGAAAAGATCTGTTTAGTGAAAGGCCCGAAGACATCAAGAGCACAAGAAAGTTTTGGAATCTCAACTGGTGATCCAGGCCCCACAGGACAATCTCGTGAAAAAAATGTTGTCCATACAGAATCGAATTTCAAATTTGTATTTTAGATGTATTAAAAAAGTGATTCAATGTAGATATCACGAATTTGTCGCGACTGGTTTTTGTGTGCTATTTTTAAAAATGGCGGGGGATTTCAGTATTACTTTGTATTTCAGGAAGTATAAAACCTACAGACTTCAGATTAACCCTTACACCGATGGCGTTTCATTTTTATGTAACCCTCCCAACATTTATAGATTTTTGATGTAATCATTTGAACATGGGTGATACAGTCGGCAGTAAAGCATCTCTTACTTCTATGTTACTAAAAACCAAATATGAAGAGCCCTTTGATAAAACAAAATGCTTAATATGTCACATTAACACGAATGAAACAGTAACATCAAGTGAAACTGGACCGAAGGGAATCCGAGATGCCGCTGAAATACGGATGATGATGTTCAAAAATGATAGAAACCAATGACTGAAGATGACAAAGTAGTTTATCACTATAACAACAAGTTCTACAAATCATATACACTGGATAAAATTAATCAAAAAACACCCCAATGCAGTGAAGAGCCCGAGTCCTTTACCAGAAGATACTACAGTTGAGGATCAAGGGCATCCACTCAGAAGATCCTTGACTTCTGCGCGTCTACTTCTATCAGCTCATTTGAATCCCGAAGACCTTCCGTCCGTTTATTATATGTTGTTCATCAGCCAGAACAAGGGTCAAAGGGACGGACGACAGAAAGAAATACCGAATATGCGAGTCCAAACACATTTTTATCAGCAGCTAGTTATTTCGGAGACGAAGTGTTTAATCAAGTAGCTGATTTAAACGGTGATATGAGAGTATTTGTATTCTCACCCGAATATTCGGAAGTATGAGTGTGCCATACATTCGCAACCACAAAATTCACACCTTTTGAAAGGGCTAACGAAATTTTGGAGCCCCTTCTGATTGCAGACTATGAGTTTACACTCACTGACATTATACAATTAATGGCTAATATTGATGATTCAGTGCTGATTCATATTAATGAAGTTAAGATTTTCTTGGTTGGAGTTTATAATGACAAAATTCGATTTTGTGAGTCCAATAGAAAGAATGAGCCACTTATGGTCTTCTCGGCTGACCTAACTCCTGAAGTTCTCGCTGCAAAAATACGCTCACAAGACAGTAAAATCAGCAGGTACAATCCCAAGAAACATTTTGAAAATCTGCGACTTGGGACTTAATGACAAATTCTGCGATGTCTCAGATCTACAAAAATCATGGTAATCAGTAACAATGCCAACTGATGCTGTATTGACATTTTTCTCATCTCTGTTTGATGTCAGTGAAACAAAATTGTTTCGGACAATTTCGAATTCGGAGTAGAAGCTGAAGACTCTGGTGATGACATTGAAGATAATTGCGAAGATGTGGAAGACAAACACCTAAAATGACTAACTGTACAAATAAACAGTCTTCTCCAAATTATATGTTTTATCAAATTCATGGAGGGAAAAAAAAAACACCTTCACACATGATGACTATGCTCATGCATTATACGGTAAATATAAAAGTAGAGAACTTATCACTATGCATAGAATTGGTGTTTCTACAAGCTAAAACGACGTAGTGAGAAGCAGCATATGCAGCAAAATCAGGCGAATCCACCAGCATGCCGATACCAAGTAACTTCTCTGAAAAAAAGAATTCATAATTGCCGCTCTCGATAATTTTGATTTTGAAGACAGCTCTTCTTTGTCTGGAACATCCAGTACACACGATACCGTGATGGTACTTTTACAAGATTCCAGCAATGGCGTAGTTAACATTAACAAACGAAGTTGTAAACAAGTTTACAGCTTCGTGGCAAGCCACGCAACTTCCTTGCCAGAATGTGCAAAATTACCACAAACCATCAAAACGTCCCAGTCTACAAGAAGATTTTGAAGTTGCTGAAGATATGAATATTGCTATATCTGATACTGCAGTAACTGGAAGCTAATGCAAAGGAATTTCTTATATCGCTTGTACGACCTGGAATAATAGATGAGGAAAATCCTGTTCCTTCTTGGGCTGGAATTCAGGCCCTGACCTCCCAGAAAAAAGTTGGGTTTTCACCCGTTATACAGTCTCCAGTCACAAACTATTTCACAATATACAGCTCTAAAAAACTTTCAAAATGTTCGCGATCAACTTGAGGACCAGCCTACTCTACTATTTTCCTGTGATGAAGGTGTTTTTTTCATTGTTGCAGAAATTTTGATGAACAATCCAGCAGACTACTGTGATCTTTATCCTATGATGAGTGCCTTTCACATGACGAAAGTAGCATTGCGAAGTTATCTCAGTGGTTGTGGAATAGAAGATGGGCTTAATGAGACCGAAATATATGAAAGTAAAACTGTCCAATCGGTGTTGAGTGGTTCCCATTACGTGCGTTCGTTACAAGGTATGCTCATTATATCTGAAACACTAAACACATTCCGTTGGAGTGCCTTTTGGAAAAATAACAACAAACTAGACTATATAGATCTGATTTCAGAGATGATAAAAACACGAGATGCACTTCAAGCAAAAGATGTGCTGCAGAGGTATTTTTCGAGGTATTATGTTTCTCTCTCTCTTCGAAACGTCTGTTTAAGGAATGTGAAGAGAAATCGGAACTATGCAAATACTGAGAAAATGTTTCACATATAAAAAATTTAATAAGTAAAGAACTTTAGTTCATGCTGATCGGGAAGGTGATTGGGTGTTGCATGTGAAAACTGTAGAGTCATTGGTTCCTATTTTTCACGAATTTGATTGCATAAACTACGTAAGATATGGATCGTGGTATTTCTAAAGGGTCAAAAAGATGGAAGTGGAAAACCCTTATCATCTTTACAATAAATTCATACAAGGCCATTTTTTGGTGAAAGATAAAGAGGGTAGATTCAATTCTGAAACTGGAACACAGTGTTACCAGGTATCAGTACCTAGATCTACTAATTTGGCCACTCTACTGATATACTGATATCAATGTAAATTCTACTGATAAAAGCCGTTGTCATTTATCTGCTTTTTATGATATTTTTAAATTAAAATCTTGTGCGTGTGTTTGTTGTGTCTTGTTTATTTGCCTTTTGTCTTGCCAGTTGCGTAAAGGCATGCGTTGTTGTTGGTTAGTAAATTGGTCATATACTGTTATGCTGTACAACTAACTGCAGCCTGTTTTACCTGTTTTTATAAGACTAGATAGGGTTGCCACCTTTTGATTCCCGGAAACCCGTACATAATCGATCCAAGGTAGGATACATTGAACATGCGTACCTACATACCATAGATCATACCCTCGACCATATTATGTACCTACTTTATTATGCTGGTATTTTGAAAAATAAAGCACTGCGCTGAGTTATGGTTGTAGTTTATTGCAATAAAGTTGCCTGCCTACAAAATTTTATGAATTTTTAGAAAAAAATTAGAAAATGCACCTTCTTAATTTTAAACGCCATCCCTCGTAGTTACGGTCTATTTTGAATTAAAAAAAAAAAAAAAACAGACACTTGTAAGCATAGGCGCCGGAACCATGGGGGCAATGGGGGCTTGAGCCCCCATAGTGATTTAGATATTACATGTAGTGGGCTGTGGTAGTGGGTAGGTAGAAAAATATTTAGTTCTTAACTGTTAATTTTTATATCAAATTTGTGTTTTATGTTTTCGTTGTTTTTGCTATACCTACATTAAGGCGGATCGTCCTTTGGACGCGTTTTTGGTCCGAATTGCATTCGTTAGAAATTGGACGAAAAAGAGCGAACGATCCTATTTCAGTGAAACCCTAATGACGGTCGTACATTGTACCCGATATTATTCGTGCGAATTCGGACGAAAACATGCGATTGCGAAAAAAATGGGATTTTTCGTAAAAGGTCTCGATTTGTGTGTGTTAACTGGGTTATTGAGAAGATGAGAGATGGATATCGAAAAATTCATTAATTTGATATGGCAAAAAAAAAATCTTTGTGGGATATGACTGTCAAATCATATCACATGAAAGACATGCATGATAGTTTGAATATTTTGTTGTGTAGTATTAAACCTGTATTTTCAATAAGTCGTTGGATTATTATTTCCTTTCCGTTTGTTTTTATGATAGGTCTGTTTACATCACATGATTATACCATGATGTACCTACCTACCAATACACTAGTTTTTTTTTACCTAGTTTATCATGGAAAAAAAATCAAAAATCCGCTAAGGGCGAATCGATGATCCTATCGAGCTGAAATTTGGTACGAATCTAGTGGAGTACGAGTTTTATCAAAAAAAAAAAAAAAATACGGGGGGCCCCTAAATATTTTTTTTTTTGCTGATTCAGAATATAGGTGAAAGGGGTCCACAAAAGTTGATATTCCAAGTTTCAGCCCTCTCTAACCTACCGAAGGAGTTTTAGCCCCTTTCCCCCCAATTTTGGAAAAGGGCGTGTAAGGGTGCATACACGCCCTGCATTTACTTTTCCAAATTTTGAGAAATAGAAAATACCACCGGGTAGAGCAGTCAAAAATACGTCGAAAATATATCTTGGTGTTTTTCGCTCCGATACTTTGTAATCCCGGAAAAAAATAAAAAAGATTTTGATCCTGGAACATTTTGGGGACCCGGCACGGCGCCACTTTTTCGCCTATAACTTCGGTAATTTCGAACCGACTGTCTCGAATCAGGTTTCCTTCGAAATAGAAATAAATTACCTACAAATTTTTCTTTATTGATATTCCAGGCTGTTTCTGTCTCCGAGATATAAGCCGCCAAAGTTGAAATTTCTCTGAAA